AGAGAGAGAGAGAGAGAGAAAGCGAGAGAGTAAGAGCATTATAAGTTAATATAAAGTATATAATTTATAATAGTAAAATCAAATTGAGCATCATGAAAAATTAATTTATTTTAAGTATCATTAATATTTTATTAAAATTAAAAAATAATTTATCAATTATAATATGTTTTCCAAAATCCATCGCAAGTTTTAGCCAATAAATCATCGAAGATATGGTCGGGCGTCGAGGGGTTTATCTCTTTGAATTTAGGCACCGGGTTCTCAGCGCCAGCCTCTATGAGTCGGGGCCACTTGTATGGCGTGCCGGCCATCGGTTGGCTAATAGTTAGCAAATTAATAGAGTTAAACAAAAACAAACTCATCAAGGACACAACAAAAATAATACCCAGTTTTGGCAAAATTGGTCCACATATTGACCACAGAGTTACTAAATGCACTGTCGGGCGACTTCATGAGCACCGGGAGGCCAAACACGTGCTCAATCTCCGCCGCGTGACAGACACCCATCTCGGGTGTGCAGCCCATCACCGGTCCGACAAACTTCGACGGATACGTCCACTCGAAGAAATACACGTCACGATCGGGCGAATTGACCGCAAAGTCTTTGGCGAACAGATATGTGGGACAAGTGATGACAACATCACCGAAGAAGTTCCAGAAGGCTCTCTTCGTGCCGTTCGTCGCGTTCACCGCCACGTCTTTGAGGTAGAATTCGGTGATCTTGTCCTCAGCCATACCCGGGAGGGGAAGCGTTTGGATCACATCCGAGAAGTCTTGGCGTGTTTTGATGGTGTCTGAGATCGGGTAGAAAGTGTGCGCCAATACTGAGCCCTCGTTTCGCATAACGCCCGCCATTATGTCGATGTCTGGCACCGAGAAAAATACATTAAGATTATCCCATTTCTCTCACACCATAACCTCCCGGTGCGTGCAATCAGTACATACCGGCGCTATAGTTATGTGTTTTGAAGGCGTGCTGAGCGTTGATGGGCAAGAAGTCAGTGTCATATATGGGATAAGTGTCGAGAAGTGTATAATTGTTTAACTTCTTGGCGTCGATTGAACGCAAACACTGCAACCATTGGCTATCATCGGAACAGTTGAACACTTTGGCCATCTGTTTGGCTTCGGCCAGAGCTTTGGTTTTGCTCAAAATGCCGGCGTCTTTGTCCATATATATGGCCCCACTTTCCATAATAGCCCTACGGAACAGACCTCTAGACTGGGGAGACATGATATGCCCGGTCACTGACCAACTGCCCGCGCTCTCACCAAATATGGTTATCTGATTGGGATCTCCGCCAAACAAATGTATGTTTTCACGAGTCTATTGATTAAAAAAAATAATTACTATTTTTTTAGCGAAAAATTAGTTTCATTTTGTATTAAGTTATACCCATTTAAGCGCTAAGAGTTGATCATAGAGTCCCAAATTGCCCGGCGCTGTCTCTTCGCCGCCGTATAGAAAGCCAAACGGGCCGACCCTGTAGTTGACGGTCACCAGCACTATGTCGTGTGTGGCCAACACTCGGCCGTCATATGTGGGCAGAAATATGGAGCCATCCTTATAGGCGCCGCCGTATATCCAAAACATGACCGCTTTCAAGGGTGCGGTCGCCGTCTGGTTACCACTCTTGGCATCATTTGGCGCCCATATGTTTAACACTAGACAGTCTTCGCTAACGTCGGGCACCAGTGGTCCCAAAAAGTTGTCATTTTGATAGCACGAGTGCTTTTGTTTAGTGCAGTCAATCACATCCTGAATAATGTTACAATTAATTATTTAATTATTATTATTTTTAATTATGATCAGTTTGTGTGTAAATGTGTTATAAATGTAAGAATAGATACCTTAATGGGTTTGAGTGGTAAGGGTTTTGAAAACCTAAGGGCACCGACCGGTGGCTCAGCGAACGGAATGCCATAAAACTGTTTAACAGTTATGTTAAATATATCGACGGTCTGTCCCCTAACTGTACCGATACTTGTTTTCACGTCAAGTAATTCACCAAAACATCCGACTGTGTAAACACTTAACACAATTAATGCCAACAATTTTTGATACATTTTTTAGTTAAAAAGAGTATTAAAATTTTTTGACAAACAAAGACAAAAGCGAACTCAAGAATACCTGTCAGTAAATGTCAAATATTGTCTTTTAAACCTTTATTTATCATTAAATTCCGTATAAATGTTGCGATCCATAGAAATAACATCAGATTATTTGGTCTCTGATATAAAATGCCATAAAATGATGTGAAATGTCATAAAAACATTGTTTGACAACTGATGTGATGGTCAGGAATTGTGTTCGCATAACACTGTAGTCTAATTAACAAATTAGTTATTGACAACTGGATTACAATATTGAGTAGTTTATCATGTTGTAAATACATAATAACATTATAAATTAGTGCAAAGTTCTAGTATTTATTGTGCAATATTGTAGTACACCCGGTCTGGTGTTACCAATTTAGAAATTGATTTAATTTGATATAATCAAGGTAAACATTTTTTGGTAACAAATAATGATTTAATATGTACTTAACGTTTGTTTGACATATAATTAGATTTGCAAACAATTGAAATCCAATGTTCAATATATTGTCGGTTTGATAACAAAAGAAGTATTGTTTGAAAAGTGAATGTTATTTTGTTAATATATTTTTGATAATTTGTTACAATAAGTGAATATAACATCACTTTATAAAATACATTAAAAAATCAATTTTATAATTATTTTATAATATTTAAATAATACCTATTTTTGATAATTTAAATTTATATTCAATTATTTAGCTACTTAATTAAATTATGATGAATTTAATGAAGCATAATACTTATAAATAAAGTAATAAAAATTTAATTATAAATAAGTTATAAACTACTAGTATTTGTATTTATTGTGCAAATAATGCATACAATTTTTAAGATTACATTATTTTATCAAAGATTTATTATTAGTGAAATGCAATAGGGTTGCAAAGGGTTTTGTTGTTATTTTAATATTTAAAAATTTAGTTTTATATTGTCGCGATAGTAGAGCTGACCCGACGGTGAGGTTGATTGGCAGTCAGTCTACACGACTAATAGGTTTGGTCGCAGGCGTTAACTCCCGAATACGGGGTGAATAACCAACACTTCGTTAAACAATAACA